CCCCGCCCCTGGGACACAGAGCCAGCTTGGCGCGGGCTCCAAGCCGGCGTCCCTTCTACGACAGCGCGCGGGGCCGCCTGCTCCCACCCAGAGCCGCACAGGAGACTGGCTTTCCGCGGCTGCCACGCCCTGGCCCGACCAGGCTGCTTCGTCCGGGAAGGGAGGACTAGGCTTCCTGTTTCCAACAGCGCACCCCAAGACCGCACTGGGCAGAGTCCCTTGCAACCACCCCCAGGCATCCAGGTTGAACAGTCACCCTCCCTGGGCTCCGTCACACGGAAGCCCGTGTCGGGGGCATCCTAGGGCTGCAGGGACCCCTGCCCCCCCCAGGAAGCCTTACCTTGGGGATCAGTGGAAGCGGTTCCTCCTGCAGAGCCTCAGGGGGCTGCTGTGGGCTGTCCCTGTTGGCGGGGCCACCTGGAATGGAGAGTTAGGCCTGTGGGTCCTACCCAGCAGCTGGGACCACGCTTAGCATAGTCAACACCCGGCCACCTGCCCACCCCCGCTGCTTCTGGGTCAGTCCTGCATCATCTCCTGGGTCCTCACTCGGACCCCTAGAGGTCTCCCATTGTGTAGATGAGGGGACTGGGGCTCAGAGATGTCACTCCCCACTCCTGACTCCCTCTAGGCAGGCAGAGGCTGCTGGAAGCCCACCAAGCAGTGCCCCAGCATCCAACCCTGCTCCTCCGGGTTGGGGCCGGGGCACTGCACCAGTTGGGAACAGAACGTTCCAGGCTGCCAGGTCCTCTCAGAATTTGTCAGGGCCTGCACGGGCCCAGGGCTCAGGACCCTCGAACAGAAGGTGCTCTGATGGGCTGGCTCCCCTAACTGGCCGTGATGGGAGACTGGACATCCAGTCTCAGCAACATCACAGGGGAAGAGGCCAGACCCTGTGAAGGCCAGGCTTCTGACCCTGAAGCCCGTCCTGACTCTTTCGAGGGGCCATTGCCACCCCTGGGTTGGGGCTCGCAGACCTCCCCCTAACACTGTCTGCTGGGTCCTGACCGCCTGCCCCCATGTTGGGACTGGCTCCAAGGCCTGTAGCTCAGGTCTCCGGGCAGCAGCAGGCTTCCCAGCTCCCTCACTTCTGCACTGGCTGCTCCTCCTTTTGCCTTCTTTGGAGGCCGGTGGCGAGGCCTGATGCTGAGGACGTCTGTCTGGCCTCCCGCACCACCCCTGAGGCGGCCCCTCCTCACCTCCCCTCTGACAGCCACGTTCAGAGAGAACCCCTTGAGCCCTCCTCACTCCTCCAGGCCGTCTCCCTGCTGCCCCTGTGCCTGGCCCTGAGATGGCCCACCTTCCCCGCTGTCTGCATCTCCTACACTGGACTTGCCCTGCCCCCTACCCAGGAAGACGCCGGGGGAGAGCAGAAGGCCACACTCTGCTTTCCGGACCCAGAGTGGGCTCCGATGGAGGGATGCGCTCTCAACATTGGAGATGGGGCATGGGCCCTGCACACGGGCTCTTGTCTGCTCGCTGGGGAGCCTGGAGGATTTCTCGTGCCTCTGAGCCTCAATGTCCCCAAACGTAAGGTCAGGTTGTGAAGGATCAGTGGATGGGGCCGTGCATGCCCAGGGTCAGGGCTGGTGCCAAGTCAGGGCGACGAGTAGGCCTTGGCCAGACTCGTCCGTGAGAGGCCGCTCCCCTCCTCACCTTTGTCTGACAGCCGGGTGGCCTCCAGGTCCGGGGGTAGCGAGAGCTTCCAGGGAGAGACAGGCATCCAGTTAGGTGGCCACCCTCCCGAGACCCACCTCCCCTGCCGTGCTGCTCTTTGGCAACCGGGCAGGAAGGCCTCTCTGCCCTCCTAACGCCTGGGAGAAGAGCGCCTGGCCCAGCTCCCACAGGGGACTGCGGTCTGGCAGAGGCTGTGGCCCAGAGCCTACCCCGAGGTTCACACTCACATCCTGGGAGTTCCTGGGTGAGCTGTCCTCCAGGTCAGAGCTCTGTGGTCACAGAGGAGGAGGCCATCAGCAGGACGTGGGGAAACGCAGTCACCCCAGGCATGGGGTAGTGTGGGGCATGGTGAGGGGCCCCAGGCCAGCCGCTGTGCTCCAGGGAGGTCCTCCTCTCCAGGCCACGACTGGCTCGGGCCCCTGGCCAGAACGTCTCTCCCTCCCTCTCGTGCCACCCAGAATGGCCTGCCAGAACCTGAGCTGTGCCACACCCTGTACCCCACCAGGAGGAGGGCCCTTTGCATTGACGGAGGGGGCTCGGGAAGGCCGGGGATGCGCCCTGATCACCGGCAGAGCAGTATCCGGGCCAGGGCCAGGGCCGGGGCCGCCCGGCGGCCCTTCCTGTGGGCCTGGGGTCTCTGGAGACACACTTGCCCCTGAGGGCCACTGCCCGCTGTCCTATGGTGGCTGCAGCTATGCCCAGCGGGTGCTACACAGGTCCCTAGCCCCCAGGAGACCCACCAGGACGAGCGTCTCCAGCTGCTGCCGCTTGAGCCTGCCCTCCAGGGCCAGCCGCTGGCCCTCACACTGGAACAGCTGTAGCTGCAACTCGTCGGCCTTCTCGGCCAGCTCGCGGACCTGCTTTCGCAGCGCGTCCTTCTCCTGCAGGCTCCGAGAGTGCTGTGTGTGCAGCTCCTCCCGCGTGGCGATGGCCTGCGGGGATGGCAGGGGGCAGGCGCGGGGATGGCGAGGCCGGGTGCCTGGAGGCCCCAGTCCCGCCCCCGCCTCTCTGCCGGCCTAGGGTGATGCTTGAGGGCTGGCGCAGGTAATAGGGGCTCATGATGGGAAGCGGAGGGCTCAGAAAAGGTGAAGCTGAAACCTGCAGCCTCGTCTCAGAGCAGTCCCTGCCGACCCCCGTGCCCCCCGAGACTCCTCCCCGTGCGCGCATCCAGCACACGCTTCCGCCCCTTGCACGGCTTTCACTGGGTTGGCGTGGCTTGATGTCCGGAACGTGGTTGTTAGCGGCTGTGTTAACGTGCTGTATCGCGCCCGTCCCTCCGGGGGGACGTGCCGCACGTACAAACGCGGGACAGCCGGACCGCACCTGAGGACGCAGCTCTGACCCACCCGCAGCAGCAGCCAGCAGCCTGCCCGACGCCCACGGTGACCAGCCCGGCGCGGGGGCGGGCCCTACCGGAGTCACAACCGGTCTTCTGTCCGTACCAACAATCCAGGAAGCTAAACCACGTCCCCTGGAACGGTCGGCCCCCAACAGCCAGGACTTGATGGGTCACCGAGAACTGCCATTTCTGTGCCTGCTTCCCACTTAGGACCAACCTGAGACAACCCTACCCACTCCCCTCGGCTGCCTGGCCCTAGTGTCCCTGGCTGACGGCCTGCCTCTGGTGGCTACGAGCTGTCCCCTCCTGAGCCCTGCTCCAGCAGCCCCGCTGTGAGCTGGGCTGCCCCACTTCCCACTGTGTCCAGCACCGGGGCACCGAGCTCTCTCCGCGTTACCGTCCTCCCTGTGGGAAACGTCTTCAGACGTGTAACTGCACAGTTAGGAGCTCCTAATAGAGGTGGCCGGTTACCCTCCAGAATGTCACCGGGGCACTGAGTGTAGCTGATTAGAAAAGACCCAGGTGACGTGATGGCAAGGTGGTGGGAAGCAGTGAGTGGACGCAGCCCCAGACGGACTTGCGCAGCTCCTGTTCCCAGGAGTGCGGCCAGCCAAGGTGTCCACGGTTTTTTAATTTAAAAAACTAGTTGCCAATTACAATAGTTTGCGTTTTTGTTAACACAAAAACGAAACTATATGCACACCAAACAAAATCTGAAAGTACAACCCGCTGTGGGGTATGGGGTTCCCGGCAACAGGCGGGGGTGGCGGTGGGGGAAGGGGGTCACCTCGCTATCACCCACGTCTCTCAAAAGCACATATTGGTTTTGTTATTTAAAAGCACTCTGATATCGGGGCGCCTGGGGGGCTCAGTCGGTTAAGCATCCAACTCTTGATTTTGGCTCAGGTCCTGATCTCACAGTTCGTGGGTTCAAGCCCCACATGGGGCTCTGTGCTGACAGCGTGGAGCC